AAAATGGCTTCAACCATTGACATTATATGCTGAGCGCATTGTATTGGTGCTCTGCATAAACACCACTGTGTGCAGCACCAGAACAGAAGGTAAACAGGTTATTTGACTCGCCTTGCGGTATAGATCAGCTACATTTCAATACGCAGTTATCCCTATTTTTTTTATTTTTCATGGGCGCTGACTCAGTTTGCATCAGATTTGGTGCCTCTGGTCAAGCCTCCTGAGCTTTCCCAGCAGCAACACCAGCATGCACACAATACACTCATGTTTGGTACAAAGCTGAAAATGTCAACTAAATTTCATAGTAGGGCTTCTGCAAAATGGCACTTGCTGCAATGCGTATGTTCAAAGAGTGCCCGTTGTCGGCGTCCTTTCAACAAAAAATGCTACTCGACCCCTCCACCCCCCCTTTTCGAAGCTTCACCCTGCAAAGGAAAGGATTGTGGTCGTCGAATCGCAAGGGTCTTGGCCGGTGGGGCCGAGGAAAGCCGAGAGTGAGCATTTCTGTTTGATGTAATGTTACTCGGTTACCGTTGTTGATATAAACCTGTGGCTAACTGACGTCCCGGTTTTGTAACTTCGTTTTGCTATGCAATGTATTTTTGCTATCCAATTTGTTTATTTTGTGCAGTGAAGTAATTGGCTTTATGAAAGTGCATAAACGTAACTCCCAACGGGCCAATGGAGCCCGTTTTGCTAGTTCATTGAAATGAATTTAAGACAGTCTACTGTATTTCACAACTTACGAATGTTCACAGAGGCAAGGCAAATATGTTGGAAAAACTGTGGCTTGCTGAAACAAATTAACATAGCTGTAGTATTGAATAGATCAATCATTGGGCGGCGCAAAATGCCACAAGAGGATGGCTTTCTGAAACCCAACATCAAAAGATGGCTTTTCTTTGCTTGGGTAAGTTCAGGCTGAGTTACTGATAAGGTGAGCACCTTTTCCTTGCAGGTGCCAGCCAATTGCACTGAGATCTACTGAGTTATTTGCGAAATTAGATAGGGTAACCGCATTTCCGGTAGTTTTTTTTTATGTAGCACCTTGTTGTTTTTGTCTGCTCTCTGCCTGCGACCGTGCTTATGTTTAGATACTCCCTGTACAAAGTAGTGCAGTTTCAGCAGGTCCATTTGTGTTTTGAACCATGGACATTTTGCCGTGTCAGGGAAAGCTGCGAGATGTTGTGGGTGTTTAATGGGTGTGAGTGTACCTTTGTTTGTGGCTCTGTCGCAGCCAAGAATGTGGCGGCCGATGTGTCTCAGAAGCTGTGTGATTCGGTTGGGGCCCGCCTGGAAGGACGAGTCCTGGGCAGCTTCACAGGCGTGGCATCCACGGTGCGGGCCACCCTGGTTGACGCACTGGTGCAGCTGCTTTCGCCCAAGCGCCGTGTCAACCTGCTGCGAGACGTCCTGGAGGCCCAGCGTGCTTCGCGTCCGTTCGTCATTACATTCTGTGGTGAATGGAGTTGGAAAGTCCACCAACTTGGCCAAGGCAAGCAATATGTCGATTTTTTTTTATTCAGATGCATTGTGCAGTGTCAGCTGACACTCTTGGTAACAAATGACTTGGTGTGCTTCTGGAGATAATTTCTCAGGGTTCGTAAAAGTCCTTGATAACCCTTGAATTTGGAAAGTGCATTTTCAAGCACCAATTCCAGCACCGAAAGGTCCTGGAATTGTGCACTCAGACCTTGATATAACGAAATATTGGTTATAACAAAGTAAATCAATAAGTCTTGCAATTGTTGTAGTGTTATAAATAACCTTATACGAATTTTCGGATTAACAAGGGTTTATTTGTGCAAGAAGCAACTTTGTTATGATGAGGTTTCAGCATATTTCGTCCTTTAAAATTCTTTAATTTCGGGACCAGTTCAGTTTAGAGGCCACAGTACAACCTGTTTATCTGTTGTAGATTACCATGGATGTGGTGAACTTTCCATTTCAGAAGCAATAAACCGTGCAAGTGTGCACCTATTCTATTTGTTCATGTCTTGTCCTATTGTTCGTTTCACTCCTCGTCCGTCAGTTCATCGCATCTCGCATTCTCTCTCTCTCTCTTTATCAACTTATCTCTAAGGCTTCACTCATGTCTCCTGCATTTATGCTTCTTTATTCCTGACTAGTGATTCGTGCATGTGGTCAGTACACTGTAATATTGTAGAGCCTTGCTATTACAATCGAATCCATATAGTATAAAACCATGTGTGTAAGAGAAGCCTCATATAAGAGACATGAACTGCTGCCCAGGGCATGTCTCTTTTAAAGGGGTTCACCTGCAGCTGCAGGCATGCGCTGTGCATTTGTGTGTTCTTTGTGCCTGCTCCACTCTGGACCGTGTAGCGAGTAGCTGTCCGTTTGATGCGACAAAGACAAACATTTTGCAACCTACGTGCACTCTGCATCTTTATGACTCTCTGGCGGTCGGGCACAGTGAGGTGAGGGGTGCTTGGGTTGTCATACAATAAAACAAGTAGTAGTACATTTGCTCTCAGTGCATCGACACTTCTTGTGTCCGCGCCGCTCAACACCAGCAAGCTACCATCGTTTGTACATAGAGACACGCTATGCTTCTACAACCAACAACCAAATTGGTTGATTGGGACAGCTGACCGAAAGGCCGCATGCTGCCTCCCATTTTCTTTTTCACGTCTCACTGCCTTTCTGCCACTTAAGAAACACCTGCAAAGCGAGCTGTACCTTGAGCTGGTACAGACGATTTGGCTTAACTAATACTAAAGGGCTTCACGAACCCTGGTGTCTTGGCATTGGTGGATAGTGCACAAAAAGACACAAAGGGAGAGTTGGGACAAGTGCTGGTCTAGTAATTAAAGGATTTTATTTGAAAAATTTATATAGTATACGTAGTATAAAGAAAACAAAAACCGTACACAACCTTACGAATGATCAATGAAAAGATCTCTTCATCAGACTGTGACATAGATGGCTCACTTATTCATTGCTCTTGATTCTTTCCTTTGGTAATTCATAAGCTTGAGTATTTTACGTTTTCGGTATATGTATATGTTTGACTTTTCAAATACACTCAAAAACCTCATTATAGCAAGTTGCATCTACACGGAAATAAGTTTCTTATATCTGAAAATTCATTTAGAAGGTTTATTCCTAACACTAGTCTATGCAACACCTATTTTCATTTATTTCGATATAACCCGGTATTCGTCATATCCGAATGCGCTATATCGAGGTTTGAGTAGACCTTTCAGTGTTAGACCACCGCTTGTCCCTTCACCTCCGTTCACATCTTGCCTGTCTGCGCGCTACCAACTCACTCGCCTTTCTGTCCTACTACAGTGTTTTACCATTTATGAAAAAAAAATTTGCAGATCTGTTTCTGGCTTATCGAAAACAACTGCCGGGTTCTGATTGCCGCCTGCGACACATTCCGAGCTGGTGCCGTGGAACACTGCGTACCCACATGCGTCACCTGAACGCTCTGCACCCACCCGAAAAGCATGGCGGCAAGCAGATGGTGCAGCTGTATGAGAAGGGTTATGGAAAGGATGCTGCGGGCATCGCCATGGAGGCCATCAACTACGGTACGCTGTGAGCTTGCTGCTTAGTGCATTTGCTCGAGTTTGATATTTTTAGAAAACATTCTCTAGGTTCAGTCTCTACATCAACTTCACCCTACAGTGTGGCCTCAGCACCTGCTGTGGCTGGGGCCACATTGCCTGAATAAAATCAATTTTTCGCCAGTTTGTAATCCGAATTTGGCCTTAGCACTGGTGGAAATAAAAGTTACCCAACATAAATTTACAATTTATGTCGAAAGTGACAATTTTCACACACACACACACCCGCACGCACGCACACCCACACACACACACAGACAGACAGACACCACACACACACACACACAGACACACACAGACACAGACTCACACAGACACACACACACCACACACACACACACACACACACACACACACACACACACACACACCACACACACACAGAGAGAGAGAGAGAGACAGAGACAGACAAAGACACTTTTTTAGTAACATCTCCTGTTATGGAACTGAGAAGCATCACATATTCATCCAGTATAAAACACAGTTTTGGCACTTGTTGAATCTCTACAGCAGCTCACGCAGCTTGGCTCACGCAATCTAGAGACATCTACAGTGGCTTACATCAAAGGAGCCCAGCAACACTTTCTGAGCTTGGTCAGAAAACGCTGACAATCGACAGTTGAGGCTCTGAAAAACACGATGTCAAATAATTAGTGCAGCAAGCGGCCTGCAATTTACAGTGAATTCCCTAGACAAATGAAGCTACAGGCTCAAGATCATTAAGTCTCGGTCAAGCATCAGCTATGGCTGATTCGAGCATGGCACGTGCGGTCGTTACTGGGGCTGCGGTGAAAGGCCGCGACTTGTCCACGCCTACGCATGCAATCGCACTGAGAAGCTGCGCATTCAAAAAAAAAAAGGAAAAGAAAAGTGCTCAAGTTCATGAGGCACGCATGGCACATTTTCTGCCTCATGCCACTTGCTTAGCTTCCAGCGCTTCAGCTGGAACAAGAAGATACAGATTGCCATTGCAGCATGCGACAATCTTCGTAATTCCGCTCATACTAGGCAGATTCTGAAGTGGTGAATTCGTGAGGCAGTAATCTTCTTTAGTAAACACATTGCATGGCTACTTAGAAAGTGATTTTCTAAAAAAAAAAAAAAAAAGACTTTTTCTAAGGATGACATAAGCATCTGTATTAGTGGGATGAAGTCTGAGAGCCGGAAGTGACCCCTGTCCTATGGCTGAAACAAGCCTTGCCAGCAATGCTGTGCACATGGATCGCTGAGGCTTGGGCCTGCATTCGCGAGCTGCTCGCTCATTGTGCCTTCAACAAGTGCTCGATTTCAAACACCCTTGATGACACTGAGATAACATGCTATGAGAGGACTCATCTGGCAAGGGCGTCAGACAACCGAGAATAAGTGTGTTGATTAATGTATTCAGTTTTGGTTATCCTAGGGCTATAGTAATCTATGCGACACTTTCTTTTTCTAACGTTTGCTATCCCAAAATGAACCTCAGATTATATGTTGGTCCGAGATGTATGAGGGTTTTTACGAGAGCCGGACAAGATTGGAAGGAGGGTCCTTGCTTGGTTAGACAAGCTAAGACCCTCCTTCCAAATCTTGTCCAGAATTTGAAGATGGCGGCCGAATAACCTCCAAGAAGAACGCACCCTTGCGCTTATAATTGGATGCTTTATAGAACATGTGTGCATGTACTGTTTTCTTTTTTTTCTTTTACTGAACCGAAGGGAATCCTCTTGCGAAATCTCATGTGTCATGATAACAATGGGGTAAAGATATTCTTTAAATGTTCAGACAATTTTTGACAATTGAGAATGCTACCCTGAGACACCAAGCTCTAAATGTACTGTACTGAATAGTTGTGCACATGTCTTAAAAGACTCTAAAACTTAGGCTCTAGAAACCACTGGTGCACGACCACAGTGTCAAAAAGACAGGGGGAGTGGAGGTGGTAAGGCTTACCGCTTAGTCAGTGGCAACCCATTTCAAAGTCCCTCAAAAAAGGGGAAGAAGCTTTTGCTCAGTAAAGTTGCTGGCTCTGGATTTATGGTAGTATTTAGTGTTGCCTAGCATCTGTCGTGTTCGTTATATGTTGTGCGTTACCAAATGCATCAACTTTGGTTGCTGTCATTGAGCATGTGAATGTACCTGAGCATGAAAAGCTTTTTAAAGAATGCCTAAACTGCAGCCTAGACTGGTACGTAATACGAAATACATGGTCGAGTGATGTCACTATGTAAATGTCGTTTTTGTTCAGCTCGTGAAACAAGAATCGATGTGGTCCTATTGACACAGCTGGAAGAATGCAGGATAATGAACCTCTAATGCGGGCACTGGCGAAAGTGAGTTAATTTTAAACACGGTACTCACTCCTCCGATCAATACATGTCCTGAATGTGTAGGTACGGTTGACTTGAGTTATCGTGTGTGCTTCTGTAATGGCCACAGGTTTTTTTTTTTCTCGGATACTAGGGGTGAAAATCATGGGTGCCAGATCGAGAACCTCACTATGAATAAGGAAGGAGTGTAATCTTGTACAAGTCAAAGTAGTTTTCACTCTTAGTACAGTAGAGCCTGTTAATTATACCCCAATTAATTGGGAAAATCAGGTTATTCAAAAATGTTCTCTGGTCTTGGCAAGCTTAGGTTTCCTTTAAACAGCATCAAAGTCTCAATAATTCGTCATATCCGACTTACGCGACTTGAAGTGCTCTAATGTTGAACTCGAAGGAGCGAAAGTGGCATTTGCGAACGACTTCGTGGCGACCACAGTTTCGTCCACATTGGATGTAGCATTCAGTAGCTTCATTATGTACGCGAACTGCCTCAAATCTTCTAAGTTTTGTTTTATTTCTTTTTTTTTTGCGTGTGTTGTGCCGTGCGAGTGTCCGTTGGTCACTCGAGGGGGCCGTCCTCCTTGTTTACGGGCAGCAGCGATCGGCGAGCCTCCCAGACCTGCGGGCGCCGGGTCAGCACAAAGGCGGCGGCCCGCTTTAATGCACCTTGCCAGTTCGGGTGCAAGAAGAGGGAAACATGTCCCCTTTGTGCATCCGTGGCCTGTGGGGCGTTCGACTCGTTTCCCCGAATGGCGAAGTGACGGACTTCCCCCACTGACTTCGTGGAACAATTTGTGCACGTGTGTGTGTGTGTGTGGTGTGTGTGTGTGTGTGTGTGTGTGTGTGTGTGTTGTGTGTGTGTGTGTGTGTGTGTGTGGTTCGTGCGCGTTTGTGTCGGCAGTGCGCGTATGTGTACTCGGATCTGTGGTCGACAGAGGAGAGCGAGAAAACCGCGGAAGAGCCAGAGACCGCAGCGAGAACGGCGAGCGATACAAGAGTCTGCGAATTGCGAGCGACTGAGCGGTTGTGCGTTGTGCGATGTGCGGAATTGAACGGTTGTGCGGGTAATATTGTAACCTAGTTTTCTTAATTAAATACAGCCTTCTTTTGTTTTCATTTTCTTAACAGTGCGTGAGGTCGTGTGTGTGTCTTCTATCAATTTTCACCCTTTTACGGCCATACCGGCGACACCCTAAATTTTACCAAAAGCGGGATAGAGGACGCTAACATTCATCAGAAGTGGGATTTGACCGATTTTAGAAAACGTTCGGAACGAGTTTGAAAAACCTTAGCGGGAGTGCGATTGCGTCAGTGCGAGAACAAAGCAATGGTGGACTTCCAGTGAGCGTGCACTTCCAGAGAGTTAACATCAGCCATGCTGGACGGATCATCGCCAGGGGAGAGTGGTCACCGTGATGATGACGACTGTGCTGGGCTCACCAAGCGGGAACTTTTCGGCGCTTTGCGCGAGAAAGACCGCTTGTTGGCGGACCTGCTGCGGCGGCTGCCTCAGCCGGAGTCGTCGGGGGCTCCACACCAGGCGGCCATCAACACGTTTCAGGTGATGCCCGATTTGAGCAGGAATATTCCAGACTTTTCTGGTGATGGTTGCGCGTCAGCAGCCCGGGAATGGATGGAAAGTTTGCGCCAGACGGCTACGCTTCACCGGTGGCCAACGCCATTCCTGCTCGAAACTGCCAAGTGTCACCTGGTCGGCGCAGCAAAAGATTGGTACCGTTCGAGAGCTGCCGAAATTTTATCGTGGGACGATTTCGAGCGGATGTTCGGGCGGACTTTCTACAGCCAGACACGGGCGGCGGAGCGATGGAGGCGAATGCAAGAGCGAATTCAGCAGCGAAATGAGAACACGGCTGCGTACTTCCACGAGAAGGTGCGCCTTTGCAGAGAGGCGCACTTACATTTCTGTGATACGAGGGAGCAGGTGCTGACCAGTCTGCGATCACGGGAGTTATGCACATGCTTCTTGGAAGGTCGCACGAAGACGCGGATGACCTGTTGCACGACATTCAGGAATTTGAGAGGATCGACCGTGAGCGACGGGAACGCTTCGGGACAGCGCTGAGCGAAGAGCGACAAGCGATTGCACCTCGTATGTACCCTGCACCCAAGGCACCGCTGCAGGGTGCGTCCGGGTACGACAGGCGGGACCAGCGACCACCTATCACAAATCAGAACGGTGAGCGAAAATGTTATAATTGTTTCAAATTCGGACACATTTCGCGGATTGCCCAGAGGAAAGACGAATGAAAAATGTCTAAAATGTGGGAGGACTGGGCATACCCAAAAACACTGCCAAGCAAAGGCCCCAAAAATGAGACGGGACGCTGTCTCTGGAGAGAAAATTGACCCTGGCGTGCTTTTGAAGCACGTTAAATGGAATGGCAATGAGACTTTGATTGGCATGATAGACACAGGCAGTTCCGGTTGCTTACTGCGCGAATCAGCGGCGGTGCGGTGCGGAGCGGAAGTGCTGGAAGATTCGACAGCTCTGTATGGTTTCGGCAGCCAGGGCGTTCCACCTGCTCGTGCGATTGGCAGGTGCCGGGCCGACTTGCTGATAGATGGCGTCGTTGGCAAAAACATACAGATACTTGTTGTACCCGACGAGGCCCAGTCGGCTCGATTTGCTTGTCGGTCGCACGTTTACCGAGCTGCCATATGTGACCTACGCTAGGCTGGGCGGCAGCTTGCAATTCTGGCATAGAAAACGAGTGCCCATTCTCACATCTCGAACCCTTCGTTTCATGTCCGAAATTACGTTTGAAAACTGCTGAAGAGACCCCACTGCAGGCCAATGTTATAAATTGGGTGAGACTGTCATCGAAGTCTAACGTCACTGGTGCGGTGCTATTCAACAACTGTGGGTGCGAAATTCTTGTTGACATGGAGGACGGAAAGGTTACTGTGCCGGTGTTTACGAGCGGAAATGACGACGTGGTTCTACGTAAAGGACAAAGACTTGGCCACGCGACAGAGGTGGACATCCCGGGTTGCGAGATGAGGAAATAAATGAGTGCAGAGAGAAGTGCAGCGCGGCGAAGCCAGAGCAAATTCTGGTTACGGAGGTGCGACGGGCCGATTGGGTGCGAGGGAATTAAAATGGACCCCTCCGTAACAGAGGAGCAGCGTCGTGAGCTCGCGTGCCTCCTAAATGAGTACCGGGATTGTTTCGCCGCCAATCTCAGCGAACTTGGCTGCACATCTGCCCTTTCGATGGACATACAGGAGATACCTGGTAGCGCTCCCGTGGCTGTTCGGCCCTACGGCACAAATGCAGCAAAGCTAGAGGCTATACATGACATCGTCGGAGAGCGGAAAAAAGAGGGAATCGGAACTGAGACACATTCCGAGTATGCGAGCCCAGTCATTACTACATCGATGGTCGATACAGAGCAGCGAGATTGGGACGAAAAGCTCAGTGAGGCAGAGTGCAGCGTGAACAACACTGTAAACAAGACGACTGGGAAGACTCCCTTCGAAATGTTACATGGTTATCGACCGAAATTTCACAGCGTGGCACTGAAGCGCTTGGTTGAATCTAAAGCGTCAGAGTGGGAGGAGCCCGGCGGGCTGCGCGAACGTGTACGGCAGCGCCTCGTGAGCGAGCAGAAGAAGATGAAGGTCGCTTACGACAAGCGCCATTTCCCGGCTAAAATGTACGGTGTCGGTGACGTGGTCTTCATGACGAGGGCTCCAGAACAGGCGGGAAAGCCTGCCAAAGCCCAGCCAAAATATAGGGGCCCCCTTGTAATCACGGCAGTGTTGCCAGCTGACACGTATCGAGTTGCCGACCTTGACGAAACAAGGGCGAGCCGCTTCGCGACCACTGCGCACGTGTCGCAGTTGAAGTGCTGGACAACGACCAATCCGCATTCACACCTTGATGACGACGAAGAGTCTGCGGAGGAGTCGGACGCTCCCGAATGTGAGGTGCAGCGACTGAGACGTTCGGCCCGTAGCTGCGCCAAGACCCATCCCTATGCGAGTGCGCCATAGTTGCGTTGGCATCTGGTTGAGAACTTCAGTGTGTGCCGAGATTTACCGAGTGAACTGTGCGAACTTAAAACAGTTGCTTTTTTTTTTCTTGTCTTCTTCGACGAAGGAAACAATTCTGTTTGTGTATTGGCGTGTGGGTTTGTTTATGATTTTTTTTTCCATTAACGAGGACGTTAATGACTGTCAGGACGACCGAGTGTACGCGACTGCATCAAATCTTCTAAGTTTTGTTTTATTTCTTTCTTTTTGCGTGTGTTGTGCCGTGCGAGTGTCCATTGGTCACTCGAGGGGGCCTTCCTCCTTGTTTACGGGCAGCAGCGATCGGCGAGCCTCCCAGACCTGCGGGCGCCGGGTCAGCACAAAGGCGGCGGCCCGCTTTAATGCACCTTGCCAGTTCGGGTGCAAGAAGAGGGAAACATGTCCCTTTGTGCATCCGTGGCCTGTGGGACATTCGACTCTGTTTCCCCGAATGGCGAAGTGACGGACTTCCCCCACTGACTTCGTGGAACAATTTGTGCACGTGCGTGTGTGTGTGCGTTTGTGTGTGTGTGTGTGTGTGTGTGTGTGTGTGTGTGTGTGGTGCGTGCGCGTTTGTGTCAGCGTGCGCGTATGTGTACTCGGATCTGTGGTCGACAGAGGAGAGCGAGAAAACGCGGGAAGAGCCAGAGACGCAGCGAGAACGGCGAGCGAACAAGAGTCTGCGAATTGCGAGCGACTTGAGCGGCTGTGCGATGTGCGGAATTGAACGGTTGCGCGAGTAATATTGTAACCTAGTTTTCATAATTAAATACAGCCTTCTTTTGTTTTCATTTTCTTAACAGTGCGTGAGTCGTGTGTTGTGTCTTCTATCAATTTTCACCTTTTTACGGCCATACCGGCGACACCCTAAATTTTTACCAAAAGCGGGATAGAGGACGCTAACAATTACATCTGCTATGCGTGCGAATTGCACAAAATTCAAACTGGTGGAAGCTTTTGGAGACGAAGAGCTTCAGTCACAGTTCAGATGCTGGCATAAAACTCTAGCTGCATCATGATGGAACTGACGATAGGTTGCCGTCATTCAGTTTAAAAAAAGAAAAATTATCGTGAAGTGTGCATGGTGACGTAGTATAAGTAGGGTGCATGTGTCAAACCGAGACACTAGAGCCTTGAGTTCAGGGTCAAAGCTGCGCAGCACAGCCTCTCACTGCACAGTATTATTCAAACATTCTCAGTCATTGTCATTATTGAAGGCGAATGACAAAAATTGCACCTTTTACATTGTGGTTATGCAAAATAAGCACTGCTATATAAGTCATGTGTTCATCAAGACAGTGACAGTATGTTGATAATAGACACTTGTTTCATGGTACTTTCCGTAATTTGGCATTCGGTTAATTTGGACATTTTAAATGCAAAGCATTTCGTAGGGAACTTCGGTGATTTTGAGCGTATCTATCTATCTATATATCTATCTATCATATATCTATCGATCGAGTCGCCTATGACTTTTAGCTCTCCTGGCCATTTCGATAATGGTATCGATACCAAACTTGGTATGGCGTAACATGACTGTATGAAGAACATATTTGACTAGTCATAACATGAAAATCATGACTATGTTCATCATGAATGTCATGATATACATTTCGTGGTCCTGCAGCTTTTGAGGTGGTTTCGTTCACATGGGATGTTGCAAAACGGGTATGGTATGACATGATTGCATGGTGAACACAAGCGACAGACCCTAACATGAAAATCATGACATGCATGTCATGCAACAACATGACTACATATGCCACACTCATGATGCGCTGGCGGCCGTTTCGCTATCTTCACTTATGCCAAATTTTTTATTACGGGACGTGAATGGATTACGAAGGTATGTGACTAGTGCAAACATGATAATCATGAGACGCGTGTCATGTTATCACATGACACGCATCTGACACGAACATGACACAGGCACCAATACCTTTCGACGTGATGCAGTGCGGGTGCTCGCCGGCGTTCATTTCGTTGCGTCACGCCGGTGTTGCCACGCCAGGCGTGGGTCCTGCCATATACTCGCAGGCGCGCACCGCGCTGTGTCGCTTTGATGCATGCGCGTTTCAGCGCGGCCAGCGTCCCTCCGTTACGAAAACAAGGAGACGCAATGTTGTATGGGTAACGCATCGGCGCGAAATGCAGCCTGTCGCATTTCCCACCGGTTGCCGTCGAGCCACGTCGATGGACGCTGGTTGCGCCTGGTGTCAGGCTACAGAGTGCTCGCATTTCGCTAACGTAGCGTCGCTGTGCCCAGAGTGCGCGCGCGTCAATGCTACATTGGAGTACCGTATAAACCGGAATATAGGTAGAGATTTTTTCAATAAAATAATAAGCTAAGGTCGCTCGTCGTCTTATATAGCGGTGTCTAGCCAAAAGTGCGACGCTGTCTGGCAACATACGACTTGCATGTGCTTGTGAAGCCAGACGCGGCCATATCCACCTCCATATCCAATCGCTGTCTGTTTTTCTTTGTGTTGGTGCTCGCTTCCGATCTGTTCCGAGTTTTCGCTCCGCTTGACATTGTGCTGCATTTTTAGTGGCCTTTTTTTTTTTTTCGTTCCCTGAATATGTCTAACGCTGCGAGGAGGCAGTACTCAGCTGCGTTTAAACTAGATATTGTTAAGTTCGCAGAAGCGAACGGGAATATGGCTGCTCAGCGTCGCTTTGGTATATCAGAAAAAAGCGTGCGCTATTGGAGGGCGCGGAAGGGAAGCTGCAGATGTGCAATCCTCGAAAAATGCCGTTTCGTGGACGAAGTGCTGTTCATCCGCAGCTGGAGGATAAGCTAGCAGACTTTGTGCGGGAAGTTCGTGCGCGCTCGCTGCCAGTGACCGTAGATATCATTCGCAAGAAAGCCGTGGAACTCGCTCAGGAAGCTGGGCTCACAAGAGAAGAGTTTCGTGCACCGAACTCTTGGGTGCGTTGATTCATGCGACGCAAAGGATTGTCTCTCCAGCGGCACACGTCTATCTGTCAAAAGTTGCCGGAGGAGTTCGAGGACAAGCTCATAAACTTTCAGCGCTTCGTAAACCGGCTTCGCGAGCAGAACGACTACATGATGGGGCAGATTGGCAACGCCGATGAGACCCCCGTGTGGTTTGACATGCCTTCGTCGACCACGATCATGCAGCACAGCACCAAGGATGTGAAGCTGCTGTCCACTGGCAACGAGCACTCGCGCTTCACCGTCATGCTGGCATGCACGGCAGATGGTAGAAAGCTTCCGCCCTTTGTCATTTTCAAACGCAAGACAATGCGATGGTGCGACAGTTGGTGCGACAGTTGGTGCGACAGTTGCGATGGTGGTAGAGGGGAGCTCCGACGATCGGGATGGGGTGCGCCAATTCGCAAATAAATGTGGTTCGGCAGTTTTGGGTTGTTTTCCTTTTTTTTTCTTTTTCGGTAACCTGATCTTGGGGGTCGACCTATATTCCCACTCGACCTATAGTCCGGTTTATACGGTATATTGGGCCCTTCATGATGCACTAGCGGTCGTTTTGCTAACTCCACATGTACAAAATTTTGTTTTACGTGACGTCAATGGATGACGAAATATATGACTGGTTTAAACATGATAATCCTGACACGGGTGTCATGCAGGAACATGACATCATGCTACGCTCATAGCATGCTCGCGGCCGTTTTACTAGCTCCACATATACTACATTTGGTATCGCATGACGTGAATAGATGACGAAGGTAAATGACACATCCAAACATGATAATCATGACACAGAAGTCATGTATGGCATCAATTACCTCCACCTCGTAATGTTGTGCCGATTTTAAAGTGACATGGCCGTTTTGCTAGCTCCACATATACTAAATTTGGTATCACATGACGTGAATAGATGACGAAGGTAAATGACACATCCAAACATGATAATCATGACACAGAAGTCATGTATGGCATCAATTACCTCCACCTCGTAATGTTGTGCCGATTTTAAAGTGACATATCAACATTTCTCATTCGCGCTTCGCATATCATCGGTTCCCACTGTATGTGGGATCTGCCAATTTTTTTCCCGTCTCGTGCAATCCAAGTTACCGAGCTTTTGCTCTATATACGTATGTCGACTGGGCTTCGCGGTTAGACCGATTGAACCAGAGATTGCAGTCCAGAGACCTAGTATGATGTAGCATTGCCAAATTTGGTAAAGGCCAGATTAGCAAGTGGTGTTTATGCTGAAGTTGAGTGAAGTGGTTATAGCCTTTTAATGCCTGAATTATTAAACTACCAAACAAAACAAAAATTGTTTTCATTTTGCAGCTTTAATAGCAACTTTTAATTAAAGGATTACTCATTTAAATTATCTAAAATGCAACTTTATTGCATACTTTTATATTTGTCTCGAATTCTTCGTATGCCACAGTAGTGAGGACCTTGCAACAAAAAATGTACTTCAATATTACCTAACATGTTGTGTGCTACTTCTTGTTTGTGTGCACGGCCACTAAACAAAATAATTGAAAATAGAATGTACGTCACCCAGGCGAGAAAGAACGAAGAAGTGAGAGCTGCTGCATGCACCTCGCCCTGTTCACAATCAGCTACAATGCAAATGGTTCTAGCATAAAATACCTTAGGTGTGACGGATCTTTATTTTTCATGCTGAAAAATTCCTAGAGTTCCCCGCAAGTACTTGGCAGCCGGCACTAAACGCGGCACACATTTCGTGTCTTGCTTGCTCGAAGTTTTTCGGTGCATCACGAAATTGTGACACTGGGCAGTAAAGGGCTAAAGATAATATTCTTAACTCTACACAAACAAACCAGGTTTCATATCTGATTGTAGTTTGCACTCGTTTCAGAAAAATTGGAATATCTGTGTAGTACACTCACAACATCATTATAAAGAAGTTACATCATTACATAAACAATAATTTTGTTATATCCGAAAGTTTGTTATAAAGGTACCTATATTCCAAACACTTGTAGCAATTGCAAGACTATTTCTCATTTATTTTGTTATAACAGATATTTTGTTGTGTCTGGGTTTGTTATATCGATGTTTTTTAGTGTACAGAATCATACACAGTAATCATTGAGGTTTATATGGAAAAAGATGGACGGATTGCGGTGTTCAACCGAAAATGCCGATTAACTTTAGCTCGCTTGATAGTAGTGCAAGATTATTCTGTTTTTACTTGTAAGTTACTCACAGGTCTTAATGATTTATATGCAGTCAGAGATAAAAACAGCCTCAATGCATCGTTACCATATTTTCTTGCATATCATATTTCCTGCACTCAGAAAAGGCAAAGAAAAAGTACCTTAAAAAGTGGAGAGCAGGCTAAATTCAGTGGACGGTTATATGCAAGAAAATATGGTAGTATTTCTAGAAAATTTTAGGAGCTGGGTATAAAATGTAGTTCAATTTGGTGGAACAGCAAAGGCTGTTCCTTAAAATGTCAAAACATCATACATCAAGCATGCCATGACAGCATTTGTGTCTTCTATGTACCAAATGCTGTTGTTCGCAAAGGCATTGCCAGAAAATGCCACTCTTCTTTTCTGGTTATATCGTTAATTATAACTTTTATCCTAAATGTATACTTTGACCCTTCATCCTCATCATATCTACTTCCAGCTGATTACAGTGAACAAGCCTGACCTAGTGCTTTTTGTGGGGGAGGCCTTGGTTGGCAACGAGGCTGTGGATCAGCTCGTGAAATTCAACCAGGCTCTTGCGGATCACTCGAGTGAGGAGAACCCGCACCTCATTGACGGAATTGTGCTCACCAAGTTTGACACCATTGATGACAAGGTGAGGCACTTGAATTACCGAAGTTAATGTCCTTACTTCTCTCTGGAGCTCTCTTACTTGAAATTGGTTTTTGCAAGGCAATGTTGCTGTTTGTATAGAAACAAAAAAATTTTCTTTTTAGGTACGAAGCTCTTTATGGCGTGGCTTGTAGTGCGTAACCTGTGGCACATACCCACATACCAGTGGCACGTACCCGCCCTCGGGCACATATCCGCATGTCCACATGTTACAAAGGACGTAGCTCTGCATCGTTATCATGCTCACAGTTTTAACAAAGCACTGACAGCAGAGATGTGGTATATACTCTCGTTTAGTTTTTGGATTGTTTGTTGAATCGCACTACTTGTATATGATGGATATATGATAAAAAGAAGCCAGATGGCGGTACTTGAAGTGTTCACTATATGGACGGACGGATGCACAGACGGATTGACGGATGCTTTGCCCCACTCATCATTATTCATTCCGTGGATAGGCTGTCATTTCTTTTTTTTTTTTTTCAATATGCTTGGTGAAACACAACTATGAAAAATGTCCCTGTCCACTGAATAATCTGGAAGCTTAACAAAAAATAACACTTAAGCACATGAGCTCTCAGAAGAGTACTTCATCACTGTTTATGTGAATGTTTGTTCTACTATCGCCACTCTGATACTAGGTGTACAATCAACAATATACACACTCCAGAGACCTTCATTTCGGCACCGTTTCCTTCCTCAATATTTTGACGGCCTTGCCCTGTCCCCAAGCAAAACTAAAAGCCACAGTTCGGGAGGCAGGAGCTACGCAGCTTTCCAACTCTACGAGACCTTGTTTTTCACATCGAATGTCGTTGCTGTCTTTATTGAATGTGTACCTGTGAATGTGTACCTGTTTCAGCACTTGTCGACACTGGTGCTGCGGTGTCTGTAACGAATGAGAAGCTTGTCGTAGACTCAAAATGTAACGGTGCCTCTTCACAACTTCGTGTTTGAGCACTATGAGTGAGCAACGAATCTGTCCTTTCGCTGCACGCACGACAAACGTTGTTTTGCAGACGTTATTTTTGCCGTCGAGTCTTCAGTGCCACCAAAGTGTTCCCAAGATATGTTGGCTGGGACATCCTCTCCGCCCATCACGCTGTCATCGACAGTGCCCACGTGGAAGTCGAGTTATCGCCGTTATGTCACTCTGCTGCAGTTGACTCGGCTTCCTTGCTTGCTAAAGCTTTTGTTGCTGGCGCTGCACCGACACTCCTTTCTCATCCACGCTGTTGCTGCTTTTATGTGACATCTCTACTGCCTCAACTGTTCTTTACACCTCCTCAAACTGCTCTCTGTCGCAAGTGCTTCCCTATATCAATCACAATTCTCATCGTTCAAGATGAATTTTCGTTTATGATGTGTTTCTCTCGCCTTCGGCATAAATGCACGGAGAATGACTAGGTCTTCCCGGTGACGTTGATTCCTTGTGTGCATATGTCATTCCTGATTACGGGACTCCACCTCAAAATGACACCATTTATTGCTCTGCACCGCCCCTCAGCAATTCACTAGTGACTCGATTTTGCTTGCTTGGTCTAGCTGTGAAAAACATGCTAAATTATTAAAACTTTGCTTCAATAATTCTCAATACACTTAACATTTTTACGTAATCTTGAAAATCTGGCACAGTAGCCTAGCAGGCAAAGGCATTGTACTGCTAAGATCAACGTTGCATGTTCAACTCCTGGTCACTACAGCAGGACCGGATCATTTGATCTCTGCTCCAACCGTGTACGTCGCCGTTGCTCGCATGCCTTTACCCGCGGATGTAAGTTTACACACGATGCACGGGAGCATGTTATCAATGTGTAATTGACACGGGATATGAAGGCATCGGCAAAAACTTGCTAGGAGTGTCCATATAATTTCTATCGCAATATATAATAAAGCAAGCTACACAAGTGCTTTGAATGGGGCTAAATATGCTCTAAGTGTTCTTACTGATTAAACTTGCTTGGAAAGGGCCTTCTGGCTGATCTAAGTCTGCGACAAAAAGCATTTTCACCTGCTGCCAGGACTGCACCAAAACCCGTGTACTTTTTCCACTCCTGTAAATGCAGCAAGAACTGTGCACTTAAGGTGAGGTGCATGTTAAAAAGCTCCAGGTGGTCCAGCTGAATCAGGAGTTCTTCGCTACGACGTAAAGTTCACTGAGAGGTGAACAGGGGTGCAGAATTCAAGCAGCAGTCACATTTAACAGATTTTCATTTACCGAGAGTGTGCTGTATTTAGATAATTGTGAAGAGATTTCGAAAGTCTGCTGTTCCCGAATTTCAGCTTCACTTATGGGCACTTAGCCTATGACTCAGCATGTGGGAGTTAGGTCAATCTCAAGTCTTGCGTGTGCAAATATTTTTGCTTTTTGTCCTACTGACCTTTCATTTTGTTTTTCTTTGCCTTTCAATCCTAAGGTCGGTGCTGCGATCTCAATGACCTACATCACCGGACAGCCTATTGTTTTTGTTGGCACGGGACAGACCTACATTGACCTGAAAACGATCAATGCCAAGGCTGTGGTGCACGCACTCATGAAGTAGACAGCACCAGTGGAAGTTTGGCCGCCTTGGTACCCTGGCCCGGCTACACCCTTTCCGGCCTTTCTTGCTTAGGGCAGTAGCAGCCTTGTTAAGAGTGCCACGCTTTTCCTTTTTTTTGTTGTGAGAAATAAGCCTTGTTATACAAAGTGTTCTTTCCTCATGGTGTTATTGTTTACATGTCGACACTGAACAACTAAGAGGTTTTTTTTCTCGGTGTCTTTTGATGAAAGATTTATGATTTTATTGTGTCATCTGCCACACGTATGTTGATTTTGTAACATTCCCTTGACGCTACCCTTTTTTCCCATTATTTCTCCATTTGTTGAGGAATTCACAGCCGAAGTTCTCGTCTATATCGGAAACTGTGAACTCTTATATGCGACGTCTGATTCCTGTATTTATTTTTTATGGGCTTTCAGATCACTTGTTTTTTGTTTTATTTTTTTGCTCAATGCATGCTCACAAAATGAAATAATTATTTACATATGATTATCTGTACAGCCTTGCTCTGAAAATCGTAGTTGTCTTATACATATTTGTTACATGCTAAGTGTTCGCCGCAGTTCTTAAAAAAAAATCTCGGTTGCACCTAAATGCTGTACAATTAATGCACTTTTGTATAATTTTATGTAGTACTTCAATGCAATGGCAGCGCGCGTTTCGGTGGCCCCAGTTCGAATGTACGCTACGATATGCTGGCGCACGTTGGCTGTGAACCGCACTGTAACTTAACTATGGTGCCCTCTCTAACGTCGCCATGCTGTGCTATGGGCACTATAATCAGTTTACACTTGACTTGAGGAGCAGTGATCATTTGTGCCTGAAAATAAAGTATGTGTTTCACTCTGCCGTATGTATTCAAGTTTCTTTTGGTTGTCTTTGGGTCACATCATTGATGCTTTTCATGGCATGAAGAGAGCACTAAATTTGTGATTTGTGTTCAGCCCGAGTTCCATTTTCTCTAGTGGCCTGAATTGATACTTTGTGTAGAACCACACAACTGCAATTCACTTTGCCTGATTTCCGTGCGACAGTGGCTGAACCTTTGCTATTCATATGCATCCAGTGTGTCGCCAATGAATGTTCAACAACCACAAGAATGGGCTAAAGAGCCTAAGAAAGGTACAGAATGGCACTACAGAGGACGGAACACGATGTGGCTCTGTCTTGGGCTTACTCTATTTTTAACATGTAGCTGTTAAAGCGTGCTGTTCCGTCGTCTCGCGTTAACAAGAAATATCATTGTCACGAATGACCTTTCTGGCATGTGCAGCACAATAACTTGGTCAGAGCGTGCTTTCCCGATGCACTGATTTGTCCGGCATGGGATGAAATTGCTCGGACGGGCAAGCAAAAGAGTGCAGAGAGAGTGAAATAGAGAAAAAGAACAGGAACAAAGTGGAGAAGTAAAAGGATGAAAGGGCAGAGAATGTACAGAAAGAGCAATACTGAAAAAAATGAAAACGTTTATAGAAAGGAGAAGCATGAAACGAAGGTACAGAAAGAAAATGAAGAGAAACAGAGGCAAGAAGGGAAACAAAACAAGGAGGGCCACCTGGCTCCTCTGTTCCTTCAGGCTTGGTGCCACCACTCTCAACTCTCAGTATAACGAAGTTAATGAGTAGCCTTGCAACAGATATATTGTTAGGAATATACTTTTATAACGAAGTTTTGAATATAACAAGCTTATATTAGTGTATGATGCAACCTTGGTGTAATAAGGCTTAAGTGTAGTGCGATGCTGCCTTAATTTTTTTTCAAGTTAGACTGCAGAAATTCACTCAGCCCTTGATATAACAAGTTCGAATATAATGATTTATTAGTTTTAACAAAGTAAATAAAAATAGCTCTGTCATATAGAGTGCTGAAGACGTGTTTTGAACGAATTTTCGGATATAACAAAGTATTTTCGTGGCACGTGTGATTTTGTTATGATAAGGTTCTGGTGTAGTGCCCTTCAATCTTTTTAGCCCACCCTCATTCTCCTCCTGTGCTCCCTCGCTAGCCCTCTGTTGTGCTGTTAGAGCATAATATTTAAATTTTCTGGGGTTTTATATCCCTCTCATCATGCGACAATAACCCGTATGAATACTTGGTCATGCGTTGGTTGTACGTAGTTATTAACTAGTAAAATTTAGGTATGTTGTACTGTGAGTATCTCATAGACATTGCATACCAATTAAAAAAATTTTTTGATGGAATGTCGCCAAAGTACGAAAATTCAGTTTGAAATTTGTGGCGTCATGTGCGGAGATTTCAGCGTGAAATTTTAAAACGATACCTTCACCTTTATTCTCTCCTCTATCAATAAACGTTTGAAGGTGAAATAATGACATTGGAGTCCTCAGGGTACAATTTATCAATTTAGGCTGTTGCTAAAATATTGCTATATATAAAGATGCTCGAAGTATTGCTATACTGAATGTTCATTAAAATCACTAAACTTCTTTTATGAGTCATTCAAGCCCAAATGAAATGTTCCAATTTATTCATGGTTAAAAACGGCGCAAGAGCGTGATACACAAACGAAGAATACACAAGGACGGGCATCCGTCCAATGCCCTGCAGCAAAAAGAAATATCGCGTTTGGTAGGCAAGCATGATAAAGCTCAAGCGTGTGGCCGTTAGTAGGGCACGTGAAGAGCGATTAATAAAGGGGAAGCTGAAAGAAGCGCTGAGAGTCCACAGCACTGATTTTCATCTAGACAGACTTGCGGCACAGCTTGTACTCGCCCCAACAGTTTTTTGGTGTGTGTGTGTGTGTGTGTGTGTGTGTGTGTGTGTGTGTGTGTGTGTGTGTGTGTGCGCGCGCGCGCGCGTGCGCGAATGGGAGCATTGTTGGAGACGTATTGAGGGGCTGAGCATCAAGCCTCAAGCAATTCTGAATCTTTTAAACAAGGTTGTCAAACTTCTGCAGTTTTTGCTTACAGTACCGGCATTAGGGTCGTCAGGAGAGCGCTCTCTTAATGCACTCCGGTGACTGAAAACGTATCTTCGGAGTCGCATCCCGCGCGCCCGTCTCACTCATCTCATCTTTCTGCTGGTCCACTGAGAAAGAACGAGGGAGTTGTTCCTCATAAGTCATCAGCGAATTTATAACGATGAAGGCCAAACACTCAGCCATGTTTGGTTTATGCTAGATATATGTTGTTTCGTACCTTCAGGTTCTGTAATTGCTTCACCAGCATACGCCTCATTGAAATATTGACATTTTAATAGTGAGTGTTTGCCTAGTTGTCAATACATTTAGGACAAATTAATATAACCTCATTAACGAAGCAATTTGTCGCGGCTACATCAATGTAGTAGGAATGATATATTCTGTAGGTTTGCTTCGCGTTACGCGGTCTCTCTCTTTTTAATACATTATACCGTGTTTGATAACTGGGGCACCGTGTATATAATCGCTATATAGTGCTTGGTAATTTTAATTGTCGAGAGAGTGACAGTTAAAACAAGAATATGACGTTGCCACGCAATAGACACTTATACGGGTATTCTTTCGCGTTGCTGGATGATATTGCGCAAGACTTCCGAGCGTTGCAAAAACGCACTTCTTTTTTCTTTGTGCTGTGTCGTCAATTAATTTTGTTTTATAATGGGTTCACATTCATTGTAAGGATACTCTGAGTCGTCTTATTCTAGAGTGTCGATTTGCTGCTTCTCCCATAGCTCTGCTTGCTTCAGTATATAGTAGTTACTACGTCTAGCGCTGGAAAATTGCCTATTTTGCAAGGCCTTCTTGAATATATATGATCTACTCTAGATGGTATTCCCTTTAGGGCGTCGATAAAGCTTGGGAAACAGCCAGTGGTCACAAGTAAAGAAAGAAGAAAAATGCGTCGGGCCGTCCATAAAAGTGGCATTGGGCCAAATCGTTACGATCTCATCTGTTTACGAAATAAACCAATATACACAAACGCATGAAAGCTATGCGCCATGCTAAAATATTTCTTTTAGGGGCAAACATCGTTATGGTATGAGTTGTTTCCTCCTCTGTAGCACTAGTAGTAGTAGTAGTAGTATGCATGCAGCCAGCTCTAGTTTATGAATTGCTCAATAGATGGCGTTGTGTGTATATGTCCTTGGAAATATATCACTACATGATGTCAGTGGTTTTCGTACAGTTGACAGACTTATGGACGGACGGGTGGACAGACAGTTGTGTCTTTTACACAGGATATCGACCAGTGCTCACCGTGCCGCCGCTGCTCCTATGCAAGAACACGCGTATTTCTTACTTGCGTGAATGCCAAAGCAACGCGAAAACTTCAACCAGCGTGTTCCAAACCAAAATAGTACGTCGAATTGCGTGCGATGCGAGGGTGGCTGGTTGATTTCATCTAAGAGAGAACTCATGTTATGCTTACTCCACTGTGAATACCACCGGTGAAGATGCACACTGCATGCGTCTTAGCGCATCATATCTGTGTGGATAACTATACCTGTAAGCAATTCATCCACTGAGCAATGAAAGCTATATACCGGGTGTTCAAAATTAAGCTTTATGATTTTTTTAAAATTAGGCGCTCGAAGGCACGTGAGAACCACTTGTGCAAATAAGTTAAGCGGCCAGGGGGACAGAAAGTTAGATGATAATTATCGCTGTCAGCAGCCCAATTAACTAAAATTTAATAATTAACTTTTTACTGGCTGCGGTAAGTTGGCATGTTTATATTGAAAAAATGTAGGCAGTGGTGTTTGTACACAGTTTCAGTTGGAAGATTTTTTCTAGCACGCCTGTGTTCCGAGATATCCGGCTCCAAAGTTTAATTGTCTTTCGCACGATTACGCATGCAAGAGGGTGAGGGTCCGCGCAAAGCTCCTCCCTAAAGTGACGCATCTGTTGCGTGTGGTGTTTAGTGTGTGAAGAGGGTGGAAGCGTAGGCATAGGTGATAGCAATTACCCTTGCCCTCTTCGGCCGGCGAAATCAAAATGTGACAGCGCGGTGCGCCATGAGCCTTACGCATGATCCTGATGAACGCGATAACAGGAGACCATTTTTCGCGACGTTTTTTCGTGACTTTAGATCACACTGAGACATCTTCTTGTGAACGCGTTAGCAGGACCGTCCTGCACTAGGGTGCCTCCGGTTAGAGCACAGCGTCTCTGCATTGAAGGTCTACCAAGGAAATCCACGTGGAGTCCTTTCGAGCTAATATGGCTGCTTCTGGCGTGAGGTATTCTACCAAAGTAAAAGTAGACGTGGTGCTTGCAATGGCTGAAATGAATGGCAACGCTTCGTTAGCAATGGAGCTTTACGCGTCTCGCCACCCACACCGTCCCCTTCCAACAAGGCCCACTTTCACAAACCTGTTTCGACGCTTCTGCACAACAGGCTCTGTCCACCTTCCGAGACGGACCAGGAAGGCAATCGTCGATGAAGACTTTGAAATCGACGTTGTCGCGTGCGTAACCTCGATGCCAGAGCTCAGCATCCGACAGATTGCCGATCAGTGCGGTCGCAGCATCGGAACAGTCACAAATGTTTAAGAAAGCACAAGTTCCATCCATATCACGTTTACCTTCATCAGGACCTAAATGAGGCGGACTTTGAAAGGCGAGTTGACTTCTGCAATTGGGGCCTCATCAAAACTGATCAAGAAAATGACTTTTTGCACAGAATAATTTGGACTGATGAAGCTCGGTTTTGCCGAAATGGAAGTGTTAATCTTCACAACGCCCATTATTGGGCACAAGAAAACCCACACTGGCTGAGGCAGCACAAGCATCAAGTTCGCTGGAGTGTGAATGTGTGGTGCGGCATACTCGGGGACAGGATCATCGGACCTCACTTTTTGAGGACAACTTGAACGGAAAGATGTACACAGAAGAAATATTAGGTGTTGTCA